AGGTGGCGATGATGGCCTGATGGGAAAAGAACCGTTATCAGCCCATGGATTTTTCACGGGGCACCTTACGTCAGATTTGGCTCGGGCTGCTATTGAAATGATTGACAGTGTTTTGCAAGGTCAAACGTAGGTTTATAGGAGGATGGATTTTTTTTTTGCTCCTCAGAGTAATGTGTTGCAGTTATGTTTCTTTTTTTGTACGTCGTCATTGTAACACTTTAGAAGGCTTACCAGTGAGTGAACAGATTTCTGGCGCTTTGTCAACTGAATCCCACTGCTTTGTAATGCGCGCTGGAATCAATGAGCACTTTTGGCCATACTGGTGAGGTTGAATAATCTTTTACAAACAGCTGGGACAAATATCGTCATGGAGATTATGAATTACCATCACTTACTTTTCATAATTAAAAAAAAAGTCAGAATGGTGTAGCTATATCATTGTACGTTTTATAAGTGGCGCAAGGTAATATGTAACTTTATAATCTGAATATTTGTTTATACTGGAGGAATCTGATGAGCTATAAAGTTATTTTTCACAGATGTTCAGCGGGGTAAGAACTTGCTTGAATCATATCCAGGAAAGTGTTTGTGGATAAATATGAAATCAGAAAATAAGTAAATAGATGGACTATAATTAAACGTAAATGTCTTAAAACAGATGCTGATTTCATCTCCTTTTTAAATATTAAAATACATTTTATACACGGTTTTCATTTGTGCATGAAGTCATCCAGATAGAAATAAAACATTTTAATGTGTCGGGTTTTTAATCTTGGATCGAAATGAAGAAGTGTATTTTTTGTTTTACTGTATTTGTCTCAGTGCTGTCACTGCTCATGCTGCGCATATGGGATGAAGCAAAGATTCGTACACGAGGCGACTTCTGTTCGCATGGTAATTTTTCATTTCTTTAGCTGAAGAGGTCGTTGCGAAGTGATAAATCGACTCATTCGAGAAGCGTGGCCTCGGCAGAAGTGAAGTGGGAGAGAGCAGGCACGTCGGTCGTGACGAATAATAGGAAGCTTTATCAAGCACGTGCGAGTTATATAACGTACACGTATAAACCACAGCGTGAACACCGGTTTTTTGCATGTTAAACACTCAACGATTTATATCCAGAATGTTTAAGGAAGGTGGTAAAGTTCACAGCATTTCTGCTCTCCAGTGTGTGATGGTGGATCGTCCAGTGATTACTGCAGTGGGTTTTGTCGGGGGCTTTCACCCAACCTCCACCACTAATGGCGTGGGATATCACCCCATTAAAGTGGATGATAAAGACCCATTAATGTAATTCTCTCGAATATACTGCACTGCCCCACTCGGATAGCTCATATTCAGTAGTTACTCTACGCTATTGGCTTTTAGCGACCACAATAGGCATTAACAAATGTCCCAGGCTCAGTTAAGCAGGGATTATTTGTGACTTAATTACTTTGATAACAAATTAAATGTGCCATGTAAGTTTAGCTGTTATTGTTTCCTTGGGCTCAATAGTTGCAACGAGATGACGGACATACAAATGACTTACTGAATGTATGACTCTTCAGATATAGTATTTAAAATCTTTGAGAAGTGACATGGTAGTGGAAAAGGCAGTCCTGCAAATTCACCGAGCCAGATGGGAATGTGAAAGTGTTATCGCAGCGGAAAAAGAAGCCACACAAAGACTTGCCCGCAGCCCCAATCACTTGAGGGTGGTAAGGCATAGCATTGTAACTGAGCAAACGCAACGTGTAGCGACTGTACCACTGTTGGCAATGCCAACACCAGAGGCGGTGGCCTGTGCAGAATAGTGGGGAAAATACTACACAGGAGACACGACGAACAGGATCATTTTAATTCAGCATGAAAAAGAAACAAGCAGTGGCCCAAATTTTTTGGTGCGGTGTTTCCCGGCATCGCAGTGGGGATGAGGATGGCACCGTGGCCATGCAGACAAAGGCTTAGTTAGCTTCGCCTCTGAACATCCATGTGCACATACACATTATTTGGTGGCTCTGAGAAGGCAGTGGTGTACAAGCACAATTAACAAAAACCTCGAAACATTTTTTTCAATAACACTGTGCCCTTCAAAGGAAAAATATACCCATAATGAGTGACGTTTTGGCATTTGGCACCTTCATCGTAGCACCTGACTAGGAAGGTCAGAGGGGTTGAGTGGATAAAATAAGAATTGGAGACAGCACTATACACCGTATTTCACCTGGTGGCGATTGCTTGTGTTGCGATAGAAACGTCGTGATATTTTTATTATTTATTTTTTATATCTACGTGGCTTTACCGAAAGACCCAAAGAACATGAATTCCTGCAGTTGCTAAAGCTTTAAGTCAGGGGTCTCAAACTCAACTTACCTGGGGGCCGCTGGAGGTAGAGTCTGGGTGAGGCTGGGCCGCATCAAGTATTCCAAAAAAAGTGCAACTGATCCAATCTTCTCAATATTTATTAATAACAGTTCAGAACATGAACGGTTCTTCAGAACATAGGCTTCTCTTACCTACTCCTTGCTGCCAAAGACCTGGCAGCGCTTCCTCTTCTTACACAGCTGAGCCACATTTGGCTTGAGGGAGGAAGCAATTGAGACCCTCAGTAAGTTTGGACCTGTACTTTGACTTATTAAAGCTCATGGTGCAGAAGAGATTTTCACGCGGATATGTGCTCCCAAAAAGGCACATGGTCCGCTTGAACATCCTGGAAAGTTCAGGGAAGGTGGGGGGCAATTCTCTCAAATTGTCCAAGCTTGTATGCTTTTGCACTCACCTCCCTGAACTTGGCTTTGAGTTCAGAATTGCACTGCAGGTCAATTAGCTCCATTTGAAGCACAGGAGGGGCATCTTGCACATCGAAGGAGAAGGGGTCAGCAAAATTTGAAAAGTGGCTCTGTGTGTCTTGAAGTCTGCAAACCTGTGATCAAATTCCTCCTGTAGCTTTACAATGGCATCAGCATACTTCTCACCACTGAATGGTGTGCCCGCGTCCATGAGTGCCTTGCATGCTGGGAAATGGCAGAGGTTTGTCTGAGAGAGCTGGGCTTTCCATAACACAAGTTTTGTGGAGAATGCTCTGACTTTGTCATAGGCAGCACTGACAAGCTGCCCCTGGCCTTGTAACTTCTTGTTTAGTACATTCAGCTCCCGTGTGATGTCAACAAGAAAAGCTAAGTCCATGAGCCATTTGGGATCACTTAGCACAGGAACAGCCATCCCATCCTTCTCCATGAAGGCTTTCACTTCTGTTCTCAACTCAAAAAACCTCTTCAAGACGTTTCCCCTGCTGAGTCAACGTACCTCGGTGAAGTAGAGCACATCCTCATATGCTGACTCTATTTCCTCTAAAAAGGCGCGGAACTGCCGGTGCTTTAAGCCCCTGGATCTGATATGGTTGATGCATTTCACAGCGACAGACATCACATTGTCAAACTTCAGGCATTTGATGCAAAGGGCCTGCTGATGGATAATGCAGTGCAGAGCAATGGCCTCCTCAACACCCTCCTCTTCCAGTTTTCTTTGAACAAGTGCTTTTTTTGAGCACTTCGTCTTTCTTATCATTATTACATTTATCAATCGTGTTCTCTCTCAGGTGTTTATACCTTTCACATTCATAAATAAAGTGATCTAGATTTTCTTATTTTTGTTTACATCCTACATATCCTTCTGCTCTACCAAATCTCTCTGGATGTCATTGAGCTAACTCTGGTGTCCATCTTACTCCACCTGTCTTAATTCTTAACACCAAGTGCATTGTCTCATGTTTTATATCTTTTACTTTCCTGCTCTTTTTGATTAAATTGTTCTTGGTAAATTCGTTTTCTTTTGCGATTGCACATATCTGTCCTTTTTCCTTGTCTTTGTTTCTCTTGTAATAATAATCTATAACTTCTTTATTTATAATATTCAGGTTCTAACCACCGTTTGGCTTTTGTTCTTGCCACCCATCTCATGCTATTTGCTATCCATGTCATTCTTTTCCCTTTCCTATTGCAACACTCTGTTGTCTTTATTAGGTCACTGATAACTCTTGTTGAGTCCGCCCACTTCCTAAGTCCTCTGTACCTTGCACTGGGTGACAGGATATATTTTCCTTCCGCTTGGTGTCACTCCGGAATCACGTTTCAACCAAGTGACTAACGTTGCTAATTCACGTTGACTAACTTGTCAACAAACACCGGAAGCTGTCACGAGCCTGAGCTACGGTAAAAAATATAATAATTAAAAAATAAATTAAAAATTGATGTTGTGTAGGGGGCCACAAAATATTGTTCCGCGGGCCGCAATTGGCCCGCGGGCCGCGAGTTTGAGACCCCTGCTTTAAGTCAATATTTAACTGCCTCTACGGGGAGGGTTTCCACACAATTGTTAGAACTTTTAACAGACTTCGAGACAAGAAGGCTCATCTGATCGAGTCGCTCACTTCCACCTGATGGCGATTGCTTGTGTTGCGATCGAAACGTCGTGATATTTTTATTATTATTTTTCTATCTACGTGGCTTTACCGAAACACTCAAAGAATATGAATCCCTGCAGTTGCGAAAGCTTTAAGTCAAGATTTACAACTACAGTACTTTGTTTCATTAAATATATGTATTTATTGACGTATTAATGTTTTAACGATGAGAAGGAATGGGGTGCAAGGCTGTAGTAAAGGTTAAGAACCACTGATTGTGCAGCATTACGAGACATATGATGCCAGTGTGTTTTCATTTGCACTTTGTAATTGATGCGACGATGAAGCTAATGCATTCATGGCAGGAACTCTACAGAATTGTCACAAATGGTGTCACGGTCACAATCAGATACATAAAGATAACATGCAGCTAAACAATGACAATTGAGTAACGGCCTCTTTCCTCAAGGTTTCAAAATCTACGATTCTGTTGCAAATGGTGGAATAAGCTCCAAGGCTGGTTATATGTCAAGTAATTGATTTGACTGCACTGTAAAGTGGATGAGGTGCTGGAGTGGGATTTGTGAGCTTCCCTGGTGAAATAGACTCTTTTTCCTACCTGAATTGGGGCATTGGACTTGGGAATGTTGATTATTGAGAAGATCCATCATTCACCTGTGTGGACCAATAACAATCATCATCATTAGAATCTATTTAGGAAACAATTTATTAGCCTGTATATATCAATCAGGAATGTTGCCATGGTGCAATAGTTGGCACACTGAACTTGCAATCCAGAGGTTACTAGTTTTATCTCCCTGCGCAGCAGTTTAAATAACGGTGCAGATTTCTTATTTCTCCCTGCCTGGCCACCCAGCTGCATAATTGGGTGCACCAGTTCGTCGATTGGCCGGTCGAGTGAGGTGGGGTAAAGTGTAGGTACTACCTCTTCCAAAAAAAACGTCTGCTCAGCATGGAGAATTAGACTCAAGGCATCCTTGAGAGGAGCTTTCTAATGCCCCCTCTTTAATGGAGGCCCTTCCACCTTTAGTGGTGTGAGTAAGAAATTTAAAGTTATGCAACCATTTACCTCATTCCTATCAAGCATCAGTATATCATCTATTGCAAAAAAGGTTAATTTGTCAATGAGTTACGTTTCAGTCATGAACCGGACATCAGAAATATATAAGCTGTTATTCAACCGTCAAGTCTTTGAATAATAACTCCGACATAAATCACCATTAATCATTGATAACTCATAAATCATCGTTCAGTCATTCATCAGGCAAAACATGAATACCAATCAGCTGCCCATCTGTAAGCCTGGATCTATCAATACCCAGGCACGCTCGTATACATCCATCAGCAGACGTGTGTTGTTTGGATTCTGAAGCATAATTACGTAGCTTGCCATGATGCACAAGGCACAAACATTACTGACAAGTACAAAAGTAGGTGAGCGATGAGGAAGCAGCAGGTTTAATCAGAATTAACGGCATAAGACCGAATGTATCATGTAAAAAAAAAACTGTCAATAAAAGGTTTTTTTAACATACGACACCTACTCGTAATGATTACCCTTTTAAAATAAATACATTTTGTGAAAAGTTACAAATAACAATGACGTGCCATGTGTTTTTTTTTGTCAAACGTGAAATTTTATCCATGTCAAAGAATATCAATCTTGAACTTTCAACCAAGCTTGACAGTCATTCCGCCTTGAGTCTCAATGGCTGCAAGTTCACACGTACCTGCTCAGGTGTGAGTGTGTGCAGCCTGGCAGACCAGCTGCTCGGGGTGCGCTGCTGATCGTCTCGCCGACAGCGAGACACCGAGCTGTGTGCATGTGGCGCTCACCACGATCATTGGTGGCTTTCGACAGAGATATCCCCACTACCGCATTTTGGGCTTCCGCGTGGAAGCCACTCTTGAGCAATATCCTGTGCCACAGACTAAACGTGTTGTATAATTAACAGCACTATATACTGTACATTTTAACCGAATCAAATAACGTTTTACCGTATAAATGAAGTTAAAGTATCTCCCTGCTCTAACCCAATGGTGGAAATTGGACAAACTAAAGTGTCCCCGATGTCCCATGCATTCCCGGTCTCCCTACTATTGACCGCCTCAAAATTGGTTCTGATTTTCGCAACCCTGAACGGGAAAAGGGCATCGATGTACCATACCCTGGCTTCCCAAGACAAGGCGGTACAGTCTCATGTGGACTCCATCTGATTGTGTATTTATGCATGTATGTTGAACTTCGTTCGCACCGTGCGTAGCCAACGGTTGATAATCTGTTCTTTCGGTATGGGATAGCGCAGGGGTGGGGAACCTTTTTTCTGCCAAGGGCCATTTGGATATTTATAACATCATTCGCGGGCCATAAAAAAAATATCAACTTAAAAATTTGCCTGTTATATTTGGTCAAACATTTAATTAACTCACCCCTAATGTGATGGTTGGAACTGCTTCTCTTTGGTGAGGCGTGTGATGATGTTAGCTGGTATTGATGATGTTGCTACTCGCAACTGCTTTTCCAGGTTTGCTCCTAGATTTATTTTATTTCGAGTCCTGCCTGGCAGGGCCAAACCAAATGATTTCGCGGGCCTTTTACGGCCCGCGGGCCGGGCATTCCCCATCCCTGGGATAGTGTTGCCCCCTTGCAAATGTGGGTTTTCTCGTGGTTCTCTGGATTCCTTCCATTTGAAAATACTCACAAATCGGCTGATAACACCACTATATATGTAACGACATAAATGAGCCGTTCTGTGGCGATAGTGGGTGTACTATACACTATACATAAGGGCTCACGAGAGGGCAGATTCCGGATGTCACGGAGGTCGGGTCAGGACATGACAGTCTGTGTGAACCCGCGAGAGCACGCGACCTGACAAGGGGGCACGGGGACCCCCAGAAGGGGGCGAGCGGGCCACGTGATGTGGACCCAGAGCCTCCGCGAAGGATCGAGAGGAGATAGAAGCCGAGTCCCGAGAGGGAGCGTGGCTGTTCAACCCGGGAAAGAAGTCGCCTTCTTCGATGCTCGCTCTTCGGTCGCCACACAAAACGACCCGACGACGTGTTGGCTGTTCTGGTTCAACCACATAGAGATTCCGTTCAAGTGGTTAGGTGGTTAGGGATGGTGGGCACCACCTTACGTAGTTAACCCGTAATGTACATAGTCGCTCGGAATGTACATAGTTAATCTTGGAACTTTGATTAGTGTTAGGTGTGTTAGTAAATAAACGTGTTGCCTCCAAATCTCGGTGTGTACCTGATCAGAACCCACTATATATAGAAGACTGCAGAGCTTTGGGGGGGATGGGGGGGATTGGTGCCGGCTCTGGGCGTGGATGCTGTCTCTCCCGCTGGTTTGTGGTTCCTACTCGTCGTGCCTCTTGAGTCGAATAGCGTGCAGCGTGTTGCAGGCTTGAATTAATTATGAATATTAGAATGGAATAATTTGACCCGCAAACACAATTTTAACTGCTTATGTGGCAGATGCTATATTGGTCAGACGGGACGTAACATCAGCGTAAGACGAAAATAACACCAAATAAATATTACATTATCTCAAACACAACTGTCGGCAGTGGCAGAACATGCTTGTCAACAAGGACACTCAATTGATTCTGATAACGTTGAAGTGTTGTGTAAAACTAATTATTACTGGCTACGACTAATTAGAGAATCCATTGAAATTGAGATAAATACAAATAACTTTAATCGCTCTAACAGCTACAGGCTTAGTGCGGCCTGGAAGCGTATTATTAAATAATACATATTACAATTCCTTATAGGGGAAACACATACTAATTAACGGATTACTAACGTAGCATATAATCACAATAACACCCATTACAACTAATTACTAATCTACAACTCATTACTAATCATAACCATTGACTGATTACCAATCGATTATATAACTGCACCTGAATTAGTTAAATGATGACGTCACCCTGCTGCTCTATTTAAGACCGGGAGCAAGTGAGGGCTTTACCATTCTGGCGATTTGCTCTATGAAAGCTGGATGTAATTACCAGCGAAACATCGTACTCAAAGTGTAAATGTTGGGGATTCACTCTTCAACACACCGGTGGGCTAAAGTAGTGAACTATTTGTCTTTTGTCAACGTGACACTTTTTTGCTGATTGGCCGTGTCGGGTGGTGGAGGGTTACGACACATTTATAAATAACGCGATATAACCCAAAAACCTTTATTTTGATTAAAATATGTTTTTATTGATATACATATTTACCATAGAACGTCTCACAATGTCAGAATTTTCCAGTGAAATGTATGAGTTTTTCGCATACCAAGTAATTTTTCTTGCAAGTACATAAAATAAATTAATAAACCCACCGCATTCATCATTCACATGTCCGAACAAATTATACAGTACTGTGTATAATCTTGCCAATGTTTTGGGACCATGGCTCTTTCACAGAGTGGAAAGGGCAGAACGAATGACACAGACGGGCAGAAATCGTTTAGAAAAGTTGCAGTTTCAGAGCTGCAGCAGAGACATTTGGGGTAAAAGGAGACAGGAAACAGCACACTTAATTTTGCATGAGCCTGAGTGTCAGCCTTCAGATAAAGCTTCAGTCATTGTTTGTAAAAAAAAAGTCACCTTCAGGACAAACGTCAGTCTATTATATGTTTGAGGCACTTTTAATGACGAATGTGGTGAGATTTTTTTTTTCAATTGCGCTTGTGCACCACCTATGGCCAAATCACTCCAAATGCTACCGGATCGGGTCAAACCTTGGAGATTAAGTAGGGTTTGTATGGGCGACCACCAAGCAAAATAAAACAGGTATAGTAGGAATCTTGGACAGTAGAGGGCAGTGTAGCATTACCTCACTCAGAGTGTACAAGTTTACGTAAAGTTACATGGATTGTTGCATCCTAAGGTCCAGGGGGATTTTGATTTAAAGCTTTCGTGACTGCAGTAATTCATATTCTTAGTTCTTTCGGTAAAGTCACGTTGAAGGGAAACAATAAAATAATAATAAAATATATAAAACAATAAAAATTCTCACGACGTTTCGACCATAACACAATTAATGCAAACCGACACACCTGATGACGACCGTTTGTGCTATGGTCGAAACGTCGTGAGAATTTTTATTGTTTCATATATATTTTATTATTTTATTGTTTCCCTTCAACGTGACTTTACCGAAAGAGCTAAGAATATCCAGGGGGATGCCGGCGGCTTTGAGAAACGATTCAACATTGCATATATTATGGATGGGGATTTAAACCCTTATTTTTTTGTTTTACAATCGTTATAACGTGTTGATCTCAACGAGCAAGTATGAAGTGCTGCTACGGTGAACACCGAAAAGTGTTTCAAGCACTATCCTGAACATGGAGAAGTGTCACTTTGAATAATGACCAGAATACTGAAGTGTGAAGTGCAGTATTACTGGTAGGAACCTCCTGGTTACACCAGCCCACAGGGGATTATTGTGTCTGTCCGTCCGTCGTGCATCCAAAAATGGGAGGGGTGGGGCTGGGTGGGGAGGGGAGGGTGGGGAGGGGCTGGGTGGGGAGGGTGGGGCTGGGTGGGGGGTGGGAGGGGTGGGGCTGGGTGGGGAGGGGCTGGTCACCCTGTGGTGCCCTTATAAAACTCAACGTTTCACCTACTCACGCCGGCTTGTGCCCGCCCTCACAGTCGGGCATATTTGCGGAATACACCACGTGGTGCCGCCGTTGACCCTGGCCATTGACCGAGCAACCCAACGTTCCTACCAGCTCCCTCCGCAGGAATGTGTTTAACAGAAAAATGTGTCAACGCAGTACTGAGCACAAGTTTGGACGTTGCGGTTATGAATAGAGGTGCTTTATTGAATACAGGTGTCAGTTGCGATACAGTACTGAGCATAGATCAGCAAGCATGTCAATCGTTGTCACAGCTAAGGGGCCGTCCATAAATGACGTCACGCGATTTTGGCCGATTTTTGACCCCCCTCCCCCCCTCGTCACACGGCGTCACAAAAAGTCAGACCCCCCTCAAATATGACGTCACATGCTTCAAATCACTTTAAACTATTGTCATTGTAGTGCGTATTTAATGTGGTGCTGCACTCTGATATAGGAGAAAACATTTACTAAAAAGGAGGCGTTGGAAAGCTGAGATTTAGCATAACATTCACTTGAAAATATTAAACGTCTAACTAAAACTGCAGATGTTCAGAATATTATATTGAAATTATCTTATAATTATAAAATATTAAAAGTAATTATAACTATAAAAAATACTTGAAACTTTGTAGTAGAACGAAGCCAAATGGAAAGTAAAATTACAACAATCACATTCATTCCACAGAATGAAAAGCCCTGGTAGAATCATTAGAATCAAAATGTTTAATAACAATTATTTAAAAAATGTTCAAAATGTATGCTTCTCCATTCTCCCATTGAGAAGCAAAAATGCTCCTTCATGGAATAAATAAAAGGTGACCTTAGTACATTTAAATAATCAAATAGTTAATAATGAAATTTAATCAAAATTAATGTTGTTATAACAATTCTAGATTTATTAAAAGTTGCGCATTTTGATGTGACGTCACATTTCTCAACCCCCCCCCCCCTCGTCACACATCGTCACAAATGTCTGACCCCCCCCCCCCAGGTGCGTGACGTCATTTATGGACGGCCCCCAATAAAAATAAGTTTAAATAAGAATAGGTTTTACACTTTCTGGCAAGAAAACCGGTGTTAAAATGTTCAAACGCCAGTTTTATTGCCAGCAAGGATCAAACATAATCTTTCGATTTAAAGCTTTCGTGACTGCAATGATTCATCTTCTTTGGTTCTTTCGGTAAAGTCACGTAGAATGAGAATAAAATAATAAATTGATAAAATAAAATAACACAATAATATTCTCACGACGTTTCGGCCACAACACAAGCGGCCTTCATCAGGTGAAGGGGGCGAGACTGTCTGGTAGGACAGCGCTGGAGTGAGAGAGCCACGTTCAGATCACGGCTCTGACTTCAACGTAACTATTTCTGTAGCAGTTACAAGCGAATCACTCAGCCATTTCAATGCTAAATTCTATGCTAATCCCATTGTCAAGGGGTGCCTCTGCGGATGTGTATGCCTTAACTTAGCTATTTCAATGCTAAATTCTATGCTAATTCCTTTTAACAATGGGTGCCTCTGCGGATGTGTATGCTTTAACTTTTAACATAGCTATTTCTGTGACCAGTCACAAGCTAATCATTCAGCCATTTCAATGCTAAATTTTATGCTAATTCCTTTGTCAAGGCTCTTTGTTCCTCTCACACAGCTTAAAAGCCGTGATCTGAACGTGGCTCTCTCACTCCAGCGCTGTCCTACCAGACAGTCTCG